GGCCAAAGGCAGTGGAGACATTAGGTAGTTATTTCAGTCTCTGGGTGTAATAACTTATTGGAGATGGGAGGGGGTATCTTTAGATGGGAATCAAAGGGTAGTAAACCCACACTGTTTGGTTTGTGAAACCTCTTCTTCACATCCCGTACTGATTGTTCTGCAGGCCAAAGAGGGGAAATCCAAAAGAGAACATTTATTACAGCACATGGGATAACCGCACAGAACAGTCTTGCAAAATGATGGTTGCTCGTCTTGGGTTTATTACAGGTCAGAGAACAGATTCTGTTCATTAATATAGCCATGAAAGAATAGCCACATTCAGTCATTCTTCCTGGAATTGTTAACAGCTATTTTTCTTTTTAACCTCCTGATTCATTTGCACTTCCTTAAAAGCTGTCTGCTTTCTAGTTTATTCACTTTTCCTTTTAAATACAGGAAATCCAATATCTAACCCACTCTGGTATTTTTGCTTTGAAAACAAAATCTGGAAAGCAAGGGAATTTTTACTTTATTACTTGTAATTATGTTAGCCACAAACAGGTGTGGTGTTGAAGAAATCCTAAACAGAGGCCCTCTTCAGTTCCCATGTTAAGCAGGAGAGATGGGTAAGCCCCTGAGATTTTCTAGGAAACTTCAGGAAATCTCTTTAGATGTCCCTCTCTGATCTAAAGAGCTGTAAAAACTGAAAATGGTTGTTGTGTCCCCCACCCCCTGCCCCACCAGCCAGCCTCTGCCATGTCTCATAGGCCTGGGCTTCCTTATCTACATACTGGATGGTGTTGGGGTTACCCTAAGAAAAGTTCTGTTTTATGCATTAAAATATGGAGAACCTCACCTGTCCTCTCTCCTTCATATCTGCAGGGTTTTTCTTTTCTAGTTCTTTTCCCAGGCTATGCATATGATCCACCTGCTCTCAATTCCTGATTGCCCAGTGAAACAGAATGGAAACAGGGTTGCAAGCTGATGGGGCAGCTGGGCTTCCTTTGCAATGTAAAAATACCTAGCCAGTCCATGCTTTGTCTTAAGAAATTTTGTATCTCTGGTTGTAAAAAAAATGAAACTTTGAAACCTGTTAGAATTCGGTAACTCCTGACTATTTTACTTGCTATCTGTTGCTCAAACCTTTGCCATGTCATGTTTTTCCTGATGTCTATAATGATTTCTCAATATTTCTGTTTTATTTATTTATTTCTTTTTCGATGTATATCCTACCTTTTTCCTAAAGGGCTGAAGGCAGCTTACATCTCCTCCTCCATCTTATCCCCACAACAACCCTGTGAGGTAGGTTGGACTGAGAGTCTGTGACTGGCCCAAAGTCACCCAGTTGGCTCCATGGCTGAGCAGGGACTAGAACTTGGATTGCCTGAGTCCTAGACCCACACTCTTATCCACTACACCACACTCGCTCTGCAAATACCAAAGAACAGGGAGAAAATTAGTTGAGATGGAACTATAAAGATGTTCCTGAAGTTATACTAGCAAAACATCTGTTGGGGGAATTTTTAGATCATTTGAGATGTGGCACCTTCTGAGAGTGGATAATGTTTTGGCCAAAATTTTCAGTAGAGAGAAGGGAGAGTTTTATATTCAGTGTATTAATCCTAATAGAATTTTAGCATTTTGTATATTCTAGCAGAGTCATAAGATTTACCATGCAATCCTATACATACTTACTTAGATATAGGCCCCATTGAATACAGTCCTTTGATAGCTGATAATTTACGCAAATAATCTCGGAAAGAAATGCCATTCAGTTTAATGAAGACTAATCTTAAACCAGTGCACACAGGATTGCTGTCTCAGGGCACAATCCTATACATGTTTAGACAGAAAAAAGTTGTGCGACACCCAGCATTCTTCATCCAACAATTTATTCAGACAAGCAATGTGCCAACCCTGTAGGAAAGTTTAAGGTGCAGCTGATCTGCACAAATTTAAAACAAATAGTGAGGAAAAATAAGAGTTAGCAGGTTTTCATTTGCCCCATCTAAGGACCATTGCATTCAAAGGGCAAGATATTTGCATATTTGCAAATGCTTCAGAACTGAACAAGATTTGGATCACACGTGAAATTGGATTTTTCTTTTCTTTTTACAGTCACAGTTCTTGCAGAAGAATGGATTGAATGGTAGAAGTGAAAGGCAAGGACTGTGAGTTTCTCCCAAAATTTAATGCTCCATTTAAACTCTGACACGTAATGTAAAGCATGTCCCCTTTGCCCAGGAGGACAGGAGTCAAAACAATGCTTGGATGGGCCACAAAGACAAAACATATGGATTTTTCACAGCTTTGGTGATAACTGATGTTTTTCCCATGTATCATTTGATATCATGCAATTTTGTTTTCAGAACATGTTCTGTGCTGTTGGAAAGCCTTTGATTTGCAGCCATCTTTTTGTTTTTCCTCTCAAGATGTACTGTTTAATCTTTCCTGTGCAGACGCCAGCAGCATGGTGTGCAAAACATTAGGGATCTGAGTCTCCAAATATGGCACTGAAAACAGACACCTGTTGCCAATGTAACATGCTGGTCTAATGACCATCTGATGGCTTGTGTTTGTTTATTTTTTGTTATTATTTCTGTTAAAGATGACAACAGAAAATTCGGTTAGCTTAGTTCAGTCTTCCCCTGTGCTCACTGGGAATGGTGGGAAGTGTAGTTCAATCCATCTGGAAAGTGCCAGGTTGGGGGTATCTGGCTTAGTTCAGTAGTCTGATCATTAAAGTTTATGCCTTTATTTATTTGCTTTCAATTCCATTTGCTATCAGTAGTAACGTTCACTATTATTAGGACAAAAGAAAGAGGGGGTAGTCATCATGAAGTTAAGCTAGAATTCATAAACACAGAAAATGTTGCTTTTCTAAAAGTTTCCGCTTTCTCCTGGCTTGACTGCTGAAAAGAACTCCTCTTTTACAATTTTTCAAAAACATAAGTGTTTTAAAAGTCTTCACAGAAGAAATACTCATGGAATTTCCAACACGGCCTGTAGTTTTCCTGGCACTGAACTAAGCAATATTTCTTCATCTCATGTTACGTAATCATTTCTGACGTATTGTTTGTTCCAGTGCAGTGTGGCTGTTTTCATCAAACCACAAATCCGGTGGAAGAGTCAAAACGTTCTTTGCCATCCCTCACACCTTTCATAAGGCTATCAGCAGTAATCATACAGGACAGTGTGCCTTAAAACACTGGTCTTATTAGCTTACCACCCTTTCTGCTGATGTGTACAACTTCCTCGCAGAGTTTCAAGTAAGCCCAATGCAGGCAGTCAATACATTTTTCATGGTATGAAAATCTAACCTTGAAAGAAAGTAGAAGGGGGACACCTTACAGCATGAAAACTTACCTAACGTGTTTCTCTATATGATTCACAGGAAGGCACAGAGTAAAAGAGAACCACAATATTCAGTCAATAGCAAGCGCTCAAGGTTAAACCTTCTAAGTCCCTAGCAACGGTATATACCACATATTTCATACATATTTGTCCAGATATTTCTGACAAACAATCACATGTTGAACTTCATCTATATGTCCTATGCTACCAATTCTATCTTACCTTTTTGTCCCTTTTTCCTTAAAAAAAATTTCCTTTAAAAAACACACAAATCACTACTTATTCATTTTCTCTCTGCTGTGGCAAACACTAAATCAGTTTGTCACCTCCATCCAGCTTCATTATGAATAGTTATGCCATTTTCACACATGTAGCCTTTTGTGTTTCAACAGTCTATGTAGTAGATCTGCCTGGATGCCCATTAGAAGAAAGAAACTGAATTCGCTGGACTTCACTGGACTCTTGGATCTGAGAAAAGATGCGTAATCCTTACAAATATCTTTCTTTCCAACCTGTTCTCTTGCAGTTATTTATCTGCACACACCCTGAACGCCTCTGCCTGTTTATTTGTGGAATGTGTATATTATTTAAATATAATAAAATTCATAAGTTGTTTATGTATTTTATTTTTTAATTATGTGTTTTTAAAAGCCACATTTTCCTTCCCTTCATCAAAAAGAGGTGCTGGAATGGCAGGAAATAGTCCCTTGAAATGAAGTGCATTCATTTCAAAGGGAAGATTCCAGAAGGACATATTTTTCATTTTAAAACTAGATGGTTTGCTTGTTTGCTGAGCCTGTTGGTGTAATTTTGGCCTTTTACTTCAGGTGTAAATGGCTGGCTCCCTAGATGTACAGTATGATCACCTTCTCTCCAAAGCTTCCTCTCTTCTGCACATCTGAAGGCAGTGCCATTGACATCACCTCTTGAGCTCTGAGAGGCTTGAATTGCCACATCTCTTCTGTGCTTCAGACGTACCCGGACTCTTCCCTAACCGATGCGTTCACTCTCTCCCTTTCTTTCCAGCCCATATGGATATTGGCTCGTGCCTGGTGTGTCTCTCCCACTCTGCAGGTTCTGTCCATGTTTTTGTCCACCCAATCACAATCAGTTTTAACTGTTGGTTTCTAGTGATCTTAAAGCACTTCACTCTTCCACTTCACTTCTCGTTCCTTCTGACTATATGATACACCCCCTGCACTATGCACACCCTTCAGAGTACCCAATATGTGTCATGTTGCAGCTCTCTAATAATTTGCACGCACACACAAAAAACACACCTGGAAAGCCACTTCTTACATAAGAATAATGAAATATGACAGCCAATTATGTCTAAATGCAATGTTTCAGAAAGAAAGCTTCTGTATGCTAATTTATGTTGTTTTATGCTCCAACGGGCCTTCTGCTGTCAGATGCCTGACTACAATGGATATCCACAGAACTAATCTTTAAACCCTTGGATTCTAATTAGGCTTGCTTGGCTGTCACTCAGAGGAAGAGAAAGAGAGAGAGAAGTTCTTCACGTGACTTTAGCGCTATGGCTTGATTACTTCAGAGTGTCAGCATGTTATCCTGGGTCTCCCTTTTATCATAGCAGTAATTGCCTAGCAAGGGATGACAAACTGTGAGCTGCTAAGCGTTTCGGCTGTTGGGTACTATTTACATACCATATTAGAAGTCTCGCGTAAGATTGACATGATGGGTTGGCATCTCCGGGCACTTGCCAAGGTTTACAGCCCTGCAGGAGGCCCACTGCTGAAACCTAGATGCTTCTGTCCAAGCGTTGTTCCTCTTTCCTGCTGTCACTGCCTGCTCACCTGCCCTTTCAGATGATGCAAGCAGCAATAATAGGAGACAGAGCCACTTCCTCCACTTGCCTGGTGTTTTCCCTCTGCTCTGAGGGCTTCTGTGAAAAGAGAGGGAATATTCATGAGCAGCTGCAACTGGGACCAGTAGGTGGGCCCACACAAGGGGTGGCATGGAGATGTCTTGGCCAAAAGCGCCCTAAAGCTGGACCCAGTGCTACTAACCCACTTATGAGCTTGCAGTGTTCCTAAGAGTTAAGAAGAGTTAAGACTTCTTCCTTGTAGATGATCCTGCACCTAACCTCCTACCAATGTCCCTTCTCTACCTGCCAGGAACCAGACACATCTTGCTTCTCTTTACCCTCACCGCCCTCAGTCTCATTTGGCAACACCTTTGTAATTTTGCTGATGGTGCCATGATGCTATGTTTGTCGGGATGACATCACAGAGGCTCAGAAGCAAGATTGGATGGGTCATGGCAGCCAATCACAGTGAACAGCAACGAAAGCAAATCAAGGTGAGGACAGTGAGGGGAAAGAGGAAAATGGGCATCACAACAGTGTGCATGTGCTTACAATAAATGCACATTGCCAAAATAGGAGGTATTTTTAGAGGTAACCACAAAAGGAAGCCATTTTGGTTATGTTGAAATTAAACATTTAAATTGCAACAGTTCTCATGAACTGTTCTGTTCTTATATACCTTGTATATAATGTACCCATTTTACAGAAAAGAGAAGCAGGGCAGAGAAGCTAATCTAAGGCTAAACAGCAGAATTAATGAAAGAGATGGATGGCCCATGAACCTGTGCCTAGATCCAGTGCTAATTCTCACTGCAATTTTAGAAGGGCTATATTCAGGACTTTTTTAGAAGAATTTGACATGAAGGAAGGGAAAGGATGTTAAATAAAAACATGGGGGCATGCTCAGCTTCGTAGGCACATTATTGTTTGATTGATGTAGTTGATGTACTTTTAAAATACTGTGTCTTGTCTTTCGTTGAATGAAGTTGGACGGGATACAATGCAGAACTAATGAGCCATATTGAGATAAGGTTAATCGCTTGCAATGCTATTGCATAGGAACAGCTTAAGACTGCAATATTTCTTATTTGAAAGTCACTGAATAGTGCAGGAAGAAAGACAACTTCATTAAGTAGACAAGAACCCCAAGAATGTGAGCTTGGAAAGGGAGATATGAAGGTCATTCCATTCACTGTAGCCACTTTCAAGTTAGGGTGGGCTCTGGAAGCATCTCAAAATGATAACAAACCTATGATAGTCTTATCTCTTACCAGGAGATTTCCTAAGTTGCCTTCCCCTGGCAGATAATTGCCTGACCTGATAAGAAAATATGACTCTTGATAGTATTTTCCCAGTGTAATCAAAGATCAGCTGCAGTTGTCACCTCAAAAATGGAGTAAGCAAATTCTCCTTCAAGACATAGGCTGTGACCTAAGGAGCTCCATGAGAAGCACGCGGGGCTCAGGCATGATCTCTGGGATGTGACTTTCCTTCTTCTTGAAACAGGAAACCTCTGAAGGGCACTTATGAAATTGCTTTTGGAAGTCCATTTGACATGAAAAGGATCTTGTTGTAGGGGACTATTGTGCAAAATGTCAGCATCCAGATGAACCAGTTGCTGCAGGCACCCTGAAAAAGCCCCCAAAGCCCTCTCAGAGGTGTAACTGTTTAACTCTGAGGAGGTTAAGGTACAGTCTAATGGCCAATTGAGGTAGAGGACCTGTTCATATTACTTTGGAATTTCCATTGCATCTAGATTTGGGGAAATGATAACCGGTCCCCTTAACTGGTGATAAGCAATAATTCCTTAAACTAATCCTTATCCTTACTGGCTGGGAAAGATTAATTTGCAACATACTGCACTGCTGAATTTGTTAAGAACATTTTTGTTTTTGGTCTCAACAGATAATGACATAGGCCAAGGAGCTATTTTAGTTAATCATTCTTAGCACACAATCAGATGTTGATGGCTTGTGAAAGTATTACTAATTTTCCTTTTATTATATTTATCCTGATTTTTCCTGAGTTTATACCATGTTTTTCTTATTTGTGCTTTTAGTCTGATGTATATGCAAAAGCCTGGTTAGCTATCAAGCAACAAACCAAAAATGAAACAATTCTTACTTGTCTTGGGCAACCTCTGTTTTTATATCTCAATTCCTTTTTCTGTAAAATGGGAATGAAAGAAATCATACTGTTAATTGGTCTTTGGAGGATAAATAAAGGAAACTCGTTTCAAATTTCAGGAAGATGTAATTCAGTGTGTGTGTGTGTGTACAGCTAGGGGCAGTATACAAAGAGTAATTTCTGGATGCATTCAATGTTGAAGTGCAAGAAAAAGAAAACTACTGCCGTTAAAGAGGTTCATATGTGCATAAATACATCCATTTAATTTTTATAACCATAATGTTGTCATGTAGAACTAGTGGGCCGGACAATAATCTAAGACTGTAACAAATGGAACACTGATGCCCTGGCCAATCTATACCACAAGCTGTGGGTCGCACCAATTCCTCTGTGTGAGTGGGACCCATTGTTCAGGAAGGGAAATTTAACAGTTCCCAGAAGAAGCCACAAAATCTTTAGAAACATCCCTGTCTGGAAAGGATCCCTGCCTCCTTCTAGAAACTAGCATTGCTGCTTGTTGTGAGTTGTCCCAAGAAGGACCTAACATCCCTTGATAAGTGGTGGGGCTCAAGAGAACTGATGGGGTGTAATCTCCTATTGGATATTGCCCATCGATGATTTTGAAGCATGAGCCTATGATCTGATACACTGAAAATGCTTTGATTAGGTTTAAAAAATGGTAACGAATGCTACATGTTAAGGGTTCACTAAATCATACAAAAGTTAAAACCTCCAGAACAACGCAGTGACAGCTTTATACAATTCTAATAAATAGTACAGAAATATTAATCTCTATATTTATAAACTAAGTCTTTGTATTGCAGTGAAATATTAACAGGATCCCTTTCTCTACCATCAGTGCTGTCAAAGTTCATTTCAAGAGTGAATCTTATCTGTAAGCTTGTTCTTTTCAGCAATCTCAAGTACTTTGATCAATTATTCCTCAGTTGTAGGCCAAGCGGCTGATTTACAGAGTCAAACACAGATGATCTTACCAGATAGAAGACAATTCAGAACACTTAAACAGATGGGACATGGATTGTTGTCATTAATGCAGCTTAATAACAGTAATCAAACCTAATAGCAACTCCCATATTTTGAAAAACAATAGCTAACACCCAAGAACAATGTGCTAGCATTATTAGCAATACACCAGAAATTAATAAACCCAGTCTGATGTGCCAACATTTGGATGTTCGTATGAGTTGTTTTATTCAGACTAGCTGGATAGATCATTGCAAAATATACTTCTTGCAAATGATAGTGGACAAAGGCCAACATGATAACATTATATAACTAGACTAGGTACTGTCAGAAAATAATTTTGGATTGTCTAGATGGCTTTCCTATAATATTTTATATGGGTTTTCCTTAAGTTTGCATTTTAAATCATATACTTAAATCATATACTTTATATAAGAAAGAAAAGACACTTGATTTTCCCAAGGTCATTGTTAAGCATTTCTCCTTTTTGTAGATTTACTTTCTACAGTTTAATTCGATTAATCAAACATGGAACATACAAAATTTCATATCCTGAAGCAGTGAAAGCAGGGCAGAAACTAGTCTTAATAGCTGCTCCCATTTTTAAATAAAGTAACAAAATTTACACTGCCATTCCATATATCTGGAAATATTGTATTGTATTAATATATTATAATATATTAATATTATATTCAATTCAACTAATGTATCCAGTTATTTGGATTAAATATTGATTAGGAATTTAACCCTTTCCTTTCTTACCCCAGATTTTCAACATTTGGGGAGCATGTCTTGATCATCTAGCCACTCTTTGGGAGTGGGGGGTGATGGCAATAATGTGGTGCTATTCCACTTAGAACAAAGGTGATCTGCCATAGGTGTTGGCACAACTAGTCCAGAAGTTAGGAGCAAGAACTAAGCATGAACTAGTCCAGAAGTTAGGAACAAAGAAGACATGATCAGAGAACAACTGAAGATACAGAACACACCAGACCTCAGGAAGACTTTGCTGACTGGGCAAAGTTCTACTGAATCAGGAAACCCTCTCATACTCCTTCTTGTCTAAGAAGAACCAGTGACTAGCTTAGGCGACTGGAGCTGGTCCAGGGCTTGACAAAACTTCATTGGGAAGATGACTCACTACATGAGACAACAGCCCACAAGTACTAGCAGTTCTGTCCTCATACTTCCTTCTGTGTTTTCTGGCCCTGATAGACTCAGGAATTGTGGGCAAGAGAGAGGCTGGGAGAAACTGTGGCGGCACTGGCTGAAATAGCTAGTGCAGGTAACTGAAGGGCCTACAATTACTGATCATGAAACATGGTTTTTCATGGGGAGGGGGTTGAAAACACTGCCTCGGTGTTCCCTCTGTCATTCTGCTTCTGCCCGAACTGAGAAGAAGGAAACTGGGAGAGAACACAAGCAGACCAATGGATTGAATTTTCTTGTCTTAACAAGTGCACTGGTGCATGGAGATGCAAATTGTTCTGTTTCCAGGGATCTCCCCTGTTGTAGTAACTGCTAATGCGTATTTTCTCTGGGAAACCATCCCTCATGCTTTTACTATTGTGATACTATAATATGGGGCTTTCTCTTTGATACTTCCGTGCTACCCATCTTAATGACTTCCATGGGTTCTACTAGGGATGCTTGAGGAATTAGATCTTTGCAACTGTGCACGAACCTGATTCACACACCCCAGACTAACATGTGGATTAGGAGTCCCATCCAATTTCAAACTTCTCTGGATTCTGCAATGCAGTTTTGGGCTCAGCTTTGATATGGACTCCCCATATCAAAAAGCATGTATTTATCTTGAAAATACATTTACAAATCCACCCTTTGAGAAACATGTTCAGATATATGTATTTAAATGTAAGTGGGCACAGAGGGATGGTGCACAGCCACTGTTCTCCCTGCCATGGATCAGGTTGAAGAACTGGCATTTTCCCTATTAGAGCCCCTGT